ATGCAATCAGACTTTAGCAATCAGACTATGGAACAATGTTTCCCATTATATGTTTCTTTGATAAGCAGGTATTTAGCTCCATGGGTGTTCATAATAAAAATCAACAAATAGTACTTGAAGAAAAAGAGTTGAATTTTAACTACTTGTACTGTTGCGAATAGAACTTTTGCTCTCCCCTGAAAGAAATTTGCCTGGATCCTTTTAACCTAACTACTTTCTAAGAACAACTATAAATAGTTTTTTTTAAATTATGTGGGATCTGCCTTTTCCAAACTTTGGTTGTACTTTTATAGTTCTGCTTCCAAACTTAGTAGTAAGCTCCAGCAACATAGTAAGAACAAAGAATGTTAATTTCTATTACTGTGATACAGCCAAAATCAGAGTCTTACAGAGATCTGCTGTGCCTGGAGCTGGATATAAATAGAAAGAAGATAGTGACACAAACAACAGGAGGGAGTATTTGGCCCCTAAAGAATGTGTGTAGCAATCTCTGATTCCAAAATCCCATACCACAATTTTTTCAACAGGATCTATACCTCATTCAGTACCTACTGAAGCGCAGGTGAGGACTGTATTGTGAGCAAGGCTCTGGGACCCTGTCTGAGTTACAGCAGAACTTGGAAACCCATCAGGACAAGGAGGTGGATCTCATCTAAGGCAGTTGTTGCCACCTAAAACAGTCAGATTTTATCCCTGCCTTTGTTCCAGAATTACTGTAATAGTAAGGAAGTTGCATCCAAAATATTTACAAGTTTCTCTTTGTTTTACGTTCCCCTTTTTGTGAGTGCATGGTGGGTGCTTCTGGATGCACTATGGAAAAGCTGAGCACTCACAGCTGCAGCTGAAGTCAACCGAAAGGATGTTTTTACCCTACAGACTGCTCTTTAATTGATCAGGTTTTGGAAGACAAGTGATTAGGCAAATTATTTACCCAAGTCAGGTACTTCTTTGTTTATTTGTTAGCACAATTTCTCCATGCCATGCCTGCCTGTAAAGATAAGACAGTCCTGTAGCTTCACAGGGACTTACTGATGCATTAATATTTAAGAACTATTTAAATATTAAGAAATACTTAAGAACAGTTGCTATACTTGTAAATCTGAAAATACCCTGGGAAACCAGAGGTAGGAATAAGAAGCTTTACTGAAGAGTTCTCTTGTGCCTATGCTCTGGGCAGGTGGTATTTAAAATACCAAAACTGAGTACAAATGCTCACAGAGCTCCAGGAAGGATTCTTAGGAGTCCAACCATGCCGTGACAGCAGAGTCGTCTGGTGGTGACTCCTGCAGGGTTTCGGAGAGCTGGCGTTTGCCTTTCGGCTTCTTCCAAGCCTCATCCTGGAGGCTCAGCGGAGCTGTGTGCCGCAGCTATGGCACCAGGACCCGCTTCCAGGAGCCCCTCTTTAGTGCTCCGTGCTAAATTGCTTTTAAGCAATTTGAGAGACATGTCTTTCCTTTAAGCAATTTAAAGAGATGTCGCTTTCTCCATAAACACCAACTTCCTGGCAGTAGTTTTCCCTGCGTGCTCAGGCAGCTGCTCTGCTACCTGTGATCAGCATAGCTCAGTTTCATGCCACCCCATCCACTGGCACTTTGTGGCTCCCTGATCTACTAGACAAAGACTCCCATCAGGTTCAGTTTCTACCAAATTGTCACCATCTCACATTGTACTCAGCACAGCTGCCTACAAGTTTTCTTCCCCAAATGCTCTTCTTTGCCAAGCATCTCTCTTTATGAAGGCAGCCTTGTCTGCACCCTTCAGAAAGGGCCATTGGGAATCATAGAATCACGGAATCGTTAAGGTTGGAAGAGACCTCTAGAGATCATCTAGTCCAACCCCCAAAGTACAGTAATGGAAGTGTTTCAGCTCAGCAGTTGCACGTTTGAATCTGATTGCTATGTGGCAACTGGATGTCATGTCTGCAGAAGCTCCTAGATAAACAGTGTGTTGCAGAGCAGTCCCTCAAGTTTTTCTCCCTTCCGTGCTGCCAAGGACATTCTTTGGGACCCCATAATAGAGTGGACAGACAGTGGGTGATAGGCATTCTGGTGTCCTCACTTTGCCACTGGGATGCCTCAGTTCAGAAGTCCTCACCATAGAACTTGAAAGGAGGCAGAGTTCGTGATGTTTCCACGTTAAAGTTTCTCATTTGTTTAGGACTTGAGGCTTACTATTATCAACTGGTTTGTCAGTCCTTTGCATTGAATCCTGTTAGACTTATTGAATGAGGAAGGATTCTTTGGAAGAAGCTACAGGACTAAATATAATTTAATAATTATAATAATATATTATGCCAATAAGATTGACCATGAAACTTCAAATGGGTAAAATCTTTATTCTGGGATTTCCAAACTTTGGAGTACTTAACTTTCCTTCTCAACTTCTTAAAAATGTTCTTCCTGGAGTAGCTTATTAATCATGTACTGTTATGTGTGGTCAAGGCAAATTCTTCAGTAAACTTAGATACTTCAGTGCTAAGAATCCAGTACTTGAACCTGCAAACACCTGAATCCTCACTTAAAGTAATTGGAAAATGATGGCAGAGAGTGTCAGCCTACCACGTCTGTAACTGGAAATGTGTGGTCTGGGGCCATTAAAATTCATAAAGCAATTCACGCTCTTGAAGCTACTTTTGTGACTCGTCAGCAACCTGCAAGATGCTGGAGATTTGAGAGAATTGGAAAGCAGATGCAAGAGATGCAAATGACCCTGAAATGGCTTGATTCAGGTTGTAAAGTATATTTTTGCTTCTTTACTGCCATTTTCTACTGAGGTACACTGGCTTTTCAACCATTTGTTAGTTTGCAGAAGTGTGAAAGCCTGAAACCTCTCAAGAAAGACAGGAGAGAAATACTTCATTCTTTTATTACCGTACTACCAGAGGCCTTGTACAGGGCAGTGATGGCACTGGGTGAGCCTTCGACAGTGTAGCAAGCAATTGGTGTCCCAAGGGGCTTAAAATAAAACTGTACCTAAAGAGATGAGGGAACAGGTGTTCCTCAGAGGGCACCAGATGGTTGCATGGATGAGCTTGGTGACTCTGAGGGCTTTCTTTTTAATGATTATGAAAAGATATTAGTGTCTTCCACATTAGTGACAGCTCTTTTGCAATCAAAGAATAAATTGATTCCAGGAGAGGGTCAGCAAATCAAAGAAGCCAGAAATGTTGTTAGTTGGGGAGACCGAGCAGGAGATTGTGAGAGAGCAGGATGTATGCCAAGAACTGTAATAAATCCCTAGACTGAATGTTGGTGTATTTATCAGAATGGGATTTTCCTGTGGCCTGAAAGGAAAAAATGTGGTAGAAGAGTGTTACTTATAAGCCAGAAACAAATGCTTTTTTTTTTTTTTTTTTTTTTGAGTGTGTGTCTAGAAAGGCATTTTCTGATTTTATCCTTCTTTTGTTTTCAACATAAGGTTCACTCATGACCTGCTTTAGAACCAAGGAACACGTAAAAAGTCCAAGAGCTTTTGTGGCTTAGAGTTCACAGCTGAGACAGACTTCTCATTCAGCAACTTGGGTCTAGTTTTTGTCAGGGATACTGTAAGCTGAAATGTTTTTATTGTTGATGTTCAAAACTACAAATGTGCATCTTTAGACAACAGGCACGCAGGTATTTGGTGCGCTGTTTTCAGTGTGACAAGAAACAGGTGGGTGAAGCTGGAGAAAGGCTGTGGTAAACTGGATATATAAAGGGCACAGGCCATGCTGGAATAGAAGGAAACAGTTATCTTCAAGTCAGTGAACCAGTGCCTGTTAAGCTGCAGAGGGCTATCTGCAGAGGGCTATTTTAATCAGCAGCAAGACACAAAAGGGGCTTATGTTTACTTCCTGAAGGAAAGCAGTACAGAAATGCCTGGTCCAGTCTTGAGCACCCAGCTAGGTCCCAGGACATATGGCTGCTTTTCTACTTTTCTGCTCCAATTACAGCCCTCATAGTTCTCATCTGTTGCTCATTCTGTTGCTCACTCAAAAAAACAATAAACAGATAAACAAGGGGGCAGCGTGAGCAGTGTGTGAACCTTCCTAGTTGCTCCTCAAATGAAGATTTGGAAGACTATCACTGAGTGGGTTCTTATTTATTCTAGAAGTGCCTGCTGCTGTTTGGAAATCAGTGTGTGTTGCGGACTGGTCAGTGTCAGAGCGTGGAGCAGAAATCTGATCCCAGAATGTTAATTACTGCTCTACACGAAAAAGCACCAATCATAAAGTGCTGGATGAGGGTCACTGACACTGTTTTCTAGGAAAAGGTTCTCTAACCCTTTCCTTAATGTGTTTGCACTGGATTATTTTCCGCTAATATTTTCCGCACTGCCCCCACCACCACCACCCTGTGTTTTTCAGATGGTGGGCAGGAGAATGGCAGAAATGTTCCACCACGTGTGGCCCAACGGGACAGAAGAAGCGAACCGTGCTTTGCGTCCAGACGGTGGGATCCGATGAGCAGGCGTTGGCTGTCACCGAATGCCAGCACCTGCTTAAGCCAAAGACCCATCTTTCATGCAACAGGGATGTCTTGTGCCCTTCTGACTGGACAGTGAGCAACTGGACAGAGGTAAACTCTAGCCAGCTGTAGAATTAAATGGTTGGTTGGTTGTTTTGTTTGCAGAATGTTCTATTATAGTCGATCAGAAGGACCAATGACTTTTTTTCTTTGTTTTTGTTTTTTTCCTACTTTCTTTTTTCCCTTAGTGTGTGTTTCTGAGTACTCTATGCAGAGGGAAGAAAACTACTGCATGTTAGAAAAATCTCAACACATGTTACTTATTAGAGATTTCTAAGAGTTTTGCTTGCCAGACTTTTTCTGTTGTAGAATAGAGCCTGTTTGCATGCTCCAAACTTCCATGCAGATATTATTACTGCTGTGGACTGAGTGGGAGAGGCTGTATATTTTATACAGAGGAATGGAAAAAAATTACTTTTGCTTTCATGTTTTTTATAATCATCTCTTTTTCATTTATATCTCTGTTCTGCTGGTTTTTCAGCAGCGTGCAAGCTCTTAAAGTATTAGTCTGAACCCTTAACAAACACCTGGGTATCTGTGCATCCTTAAAGTTAGATAAATATTATGTAGTTATTTCACTGACAGCTGATGAACTTCAGAATGTGAGGCCGTCAGAATGATGATTGCAACATATCCTGACTTAAGAAAATGTACCTCCAATAATTACGACAGCTGATATACAACAAGTTCCATTTATCTTTCCATTTTCAAGTGTCAATGAAAATGAAGTTTACTGAGTTTTTCAAAACTTTCAAGACCTTCCTTTTTAATGCCTCCTCTCCCTTCTCTCTTCAAACTTCTGCATGCAATTACTCAGTAACGGCCTTAGCAATTTTGATAGTAGATTCAGATAAAGAAGTAATTGAATTTTGTGACAGTTTGATTTCAGCTTATGCTGCTTACAAACCATCATCCCCAAATGTTGATTGTTTTATAAATTGAGTAGACAACATATTTTAACTACTTGTGGAAAAAGTTGGCAGTGTGTTTCTGGCCAGCAGTATAATTATACCAAAATGGTATGCTGATACTGAATGCAGCAAGTGCTCGTGTGTCATTGAGCATTATGGCATGTTACTGACAAAAATGAATTTCTACCCTGCAGATATCGAGGAGGGAACATAAGATGGATTATTTCTCCCACACAAGTGACAGTGTTGACAATAGATTTGTAATTGCAGAATGTTGTTTGCTGGTGAACCTGAGAGGGAGATTTTTAACAGGCAGGGATTCACTGAACTTATCTGGCTGTTAGAAAATCACCCTGTATCTTGTGATATGAGCGTACTTAATTAACAGATAATGCAGATGAAGCATTATAGCTGTTATGATTTTTTTTTAGCACATGACCATAATTAAAGCACCTCTCTGCCTTCCTCCCCTCTCCTGTTGCTACAGAGCTGGTGTTATTCTACAGGTAGTAGAATATAGCACCAATAAGATGAGGTAACTGGTGTTCCTACTACCGTTTGACCCAGATTAGCTCTGACAGGGGGTGAGATATTCCAGGGATTTAAAAGTGCTCCCAGTAGAGGTGCTCACTGCTTTAAGTGCTGGTTTAAGCCAGCTACATTAGCCGGTCAAACTCCCTAGTATCCTCAGAGGGCTTCCTCCAGTAGGACATATGGAACATCCCCATTAACACTGGCTGATTAGCAGCTTTAGCAACTTAAAACTAAGAGGCATATGTTGAAATTTCAAAAAGTCCTCAGTGGAGCAGCAGCTTCCAAAGGCCTGAAGATGCCTGTCAAGCTGATGAGGCAGAACATCATGGAAGAGCTCAGTCTCCTTGGAGTCCAGCATCCTTAAGCATTGCAAGGGTCTCTCTCATAAACTCAGCAAGAATCTGTGAGCTGCACAAAACTTCAGAGTGAGACTAAGGCATTGCGAGCAGCCAGAACTGAGCCAGTCAGATATGTTTTTGATGGCAACTTTAATACATTTTTTTATACCTAATGAGAGGCATCAACTAAACAATTTCTGGGATTGTTTCACAGCAGAAATCAAATTCTCTCATATGTCCATGTAGTCCATGTCTTTATCATGTAGTCTGTGATCACTGCTGTATATTCAATGAGCTGTTTATTCTTCTAGAATTTCCATGCTTGCAGAAAATCAGTAAAACTAACAGCTTGATCCTCAGGAAAGGCTTTGTTAGTGACTATTTATATGGATGTTTTTGCTATAAATAGATATCATTTGATAATTATTTTCATTAGTATGTGGAGCAGAATGAAGAGGGCAATTGTATTAATTTTGATTCTTTCACAGTGTACAGTTACTTGTGGTGGTGGAGTAAGGACTCGTAACGTCACTTGTGCCAAAAATAATGATGAGCCATGTGATAGCTCCAAGAAACCAAACTCTAAGGCCCTGTGTGGTCTCCAGCAATGTCCTTCTGCTGGAAGATTTCTCATACCTCCACTGGGACCCAGAAGAGGAAAGATCATAATCAGAAAAACAGCCATTAATCCCAAACGGGGTTCTCCTGGCAGAATACCTATACCCGTGCCAAGCCCAAGGGTCCACACAACAACAGAAACACCCAAGTCTGAAAGCGTAACTGCCTCTTTTCCTATGTTGTCTACCTTGGGTAGTGTTTCAGAAAAAGAAGGAACAATCAACAAAACATTACAAAATAATTCTGCTGGATCAAGTAATGTTTACAATTATTCTGGTGCTTTTACAGAAACTAGTTCACACAAAAGTACTACTTCATGGCCTTTTCATAATAGCTCAAGTACTGAAAATATAAGGCATGCTGAAAATGTTACTGAGAGTGATCCAATTTTTACGGTCAAGAGTGAAGCGCCAGGAGGTGAGGACAGTCGTGTCTCCTTGTTTACCAAAAGTCCAGAAATAACTCCTAGCTATGATTACTTAACAGAAGAATCTGATGACATTGATGTGTCAGCAGGGAGCAGTGAGAAACCAACTGAGCTCATTCACAGCACAGAACTCGATCCAGAAATCAGAACCCAGAGCATGGTTCTAGGTACGAACTCTCACGCCCTCCAGAATGGTAACACGACTCCTCCACTCTCCCCAGCCTCTCCTCACCATGAATCTTCTACGCTCCTTCTGATTAGTGGGGCACCGCCAGGACTGGCATTGCCGACGACAGCAAACTCTATCAGTCTTGATGTGCCTGTTGTGGAAGTTACCACCCAAGAAGCATTCATTGCAGTGATGCCCACAATGTCTGCTAATCTGAGAGACCAGACTGACAACCCAACAGAAATAAAGTTATGTGACGTTGCCACCAACAGCACATCATTGCCAGCTCTTGAGTGTGCTCCCACAAACCAAAGTGCAGCATCTGAGCGGGTTCTGCCAAGTGTCACAGAAAAGGGCCACCTAATAATACCCAACAATTTGCATGCTGAGGCCTACTGGATAGTAGGGAACTGGAGTGAGGTAAGTTATTTTTAACTGGATAAAGTGCATTAGTGCTTTGGTTACCTAAACATAGTTTGCAGTTGTCTGTCAACAGATATTTGTGGTGCTTTTCTATCTCATACTTCCATGAGTGTTTGTACTCACCATTAAGCAAATGCTTCCTAACTCAGAGCAGCATCCTACATGGTAAAATATGTTTCGATCCATAGTCAAGACAAGGGTATTAGTTGTAAGTTAAACTGTTTTGTGTGGGGAGCTTGATTTGTCCAATATGTCTGTGGAGAGATATAACAGAGAGAGTTCTGTGCCTGTGAGTGTTTTAGGGGTTTAGGTAGTGGAACTGGATAGTACTAGTAAACAAAAAGTACTTTTCCTAGATGGAATAGAAGCTACAGCTTATGGTTACAGCATTAAAAGTACTTGTACTATTATTTGAGCATAGAAATTAGCAGTTATTTTTTTCTGTGCTAATGGCTGTGCCAGAATGAATATTTTACTCTCTAACAGTAATACGAGTGAATCAAAAAAGGTGTTAACATCCTGCAGCTTTCGCCCACTTCTTAGGAAAATGCTGTCATGTTTGATTCTTCTGTGATTCATAAAAATGACAAAAGGGATTATATGAAACAAGTTGCAGCTCACAGGGAGTTTGAAAACTCTTTTTGGATATTGTAAGGAATGAGCAAAAAGCGTTTGGAAGATATCTGGTCTGGAAAGCAATGATTTGTTCCAATTTCCCAGTTTGTCACAAAACAGGCTTTGAAAAAAAAAGGGTTTGTCGAACATAGTTGTTACCTTGCAAGGATGTCAGAGGCCAGGCAAGCAGGTGGAACAATGGATTTTCCTGCTCATTGGGACAGTATACCCACATTCATTGCTGAATGACGATAATGCTTGGATAATTTCTGCTTTCTGTGCAGGAGCAATAGAGATTGCCAAGTTTTCCATGGCCTTGGATGTGTAGTTGCATCATTCAGTATATCGCTGTTGACTTGCCTTTTCTGATTCCCCAGAAGCATATATTTTTTTACAAGTAGGTTTCTATGCAGCCAGCTTGCTGTGCTCAGGGATAGCAGTTACTCTGGGTCAGGGCTAGGTGGGGGCTGCCATCCCCTCTCCTAACATCCATCAGAATATAGCCAGAAAGAGCCTTTTAAAAATTTACATAGTTTTGTTTAATGTCCTTGTTGTAAAATTTCTTTGCACGTAAACAGAGTTCTTTGTATCTAAATGGGTTTCTTGTTTTTAAAATGTGGTTCCTGAAGTGAGAGACTGATATCTGAACAAGTTACCTCATCTGTAGAGGGACTGAACAGGCATCTTTCCTGATGATCCTTTTTAAACAGTGCAATAAGTAAAGTCTGTAGTCCAGAATTTGAAACCTCCTTACACTGATCTGCTTCTCTGTGTGCCTATATCAATAGAGAAGGATATAGAAGATCTCTTTTCCCATACCTACTTGCTCTTGGGTCCACCTGGAATGCTGCAAGTTCATGAAAATGTAGAAATGCCATGATAAATGGGATGGCATGAGAGGACTTAGAGTATCCCATGGCAATGGAGTTAAAGCCCAGCTAGATCCCACCAAGATCCTGCTGACGGCTTCATTTTGGTGCAGCCCGCAGGTCAGACCCCTGCTCTGTTGCTACCACCTCCTTGGCTGTTCCTGAAGGAGATTCCCTCAAACAGTCCAAAGCTGCCACAGTGTATTTGAGGTTTTCAATATCTTGTACTCATTTTGTTGATTATGTCATTAGCAGTGTTAGGAATAGCAAAGGAAAAGTGATGAAGGTTAGATGCACTGATATTTTGCTCTAACAAATTGAAAATTAAAGATCATAGAAGGAAGCCACAGGACAGATGATAATAGATTTAGAGTGTCTCCATAAGCAGAAATTTGCTGACGAAGAGCAGTGCATTAGGAAAAAAAAAGTCTTCCTTCATAATCTTAAGTAAGAGGATCTAGGTAAACTTGAAATCTTCTTTGGAGGGTCTGTGCAAGCCTCTTGGATAACCTAGGACATCTACAAACGCGCTAGATATTAGTGTTGAAACCTGACTTGTTTCCAGAGAGACTGGCTAAGATTTGCTGCTGGACTTTTCTCTCCTACCATGCAGTGCTCAACCACCTGTGGCCTGGGGACGTTCTGGAGACACGTGGAGTGTAGCAGTAGGGATGTATCCGACTGCCAGCACAACAAAAAGCCTGATCCTGCAAGAAGATGTTATCTCCGCCCTTGCGCGAGCTGGAAAACAGGAAACTGGAGCAAGGTAACCTCATTCAGAGCCCTGCGTGAGCAGTAAGCTCACTGACTTCAAAGACTAGAGAGATGTAAATACTTCATGTTTAAAATAATTATTCATTCACTTCCCTGAAAGCATACGTGATTCGCAGTTGACCATTCAGCTCTAATTTACTAATTTCCTGGCTAAGTTATTTATGGAAATGCATCTGTTGTAAATTCTGTTCTTCCTGTGTGGGGGTCATGCTCATTAAATCTTGCCCCTGGAGCTAAAAGCAGAGTTTGCTGTCCCTGTTTTATGGAGATCATAAGACAAAACTGTACATATTTGCATGTGGCTTGCACTGGTTTTGCCTGTGTAAATATGTACCTCTGCCTCTAGCAGCGTATCCTAATTTTGGTAAGCAAGTGAGAATTTGTCTTGTAACTTACAAATTTCACTGCAAAAGCTGAAGAAAAACATAGTAGGAAAATTGCCTGTTGGTGCTAGGCTTTTAATCAGTCCCAGGTATGTACACAGGCTGGGTCAAGAGTGTCCATAGTAGGGACTCAGGGAATTGGGTTTGATTTCTTTTTTGGTACTGTAAGACAGTGCATATCTGAAAGGACTTTGGTCAAACTTCTTGTAACTTGTTATGTTTTGTCTTCAGATTATCCGGAATTGAGACTTTCAATCTTGGGTTATTTTTCAATACTTGGAAGGAAAAAAATACAAAATTATAATTGAAACTGTATAGATGTAATAAAGAAAAAGAAAGATCTCTTCTACTCTTTCCAAATGTACTGCTTTTGTGGACAATGTTTTTATCGTTGGTCTAAAGCGTAGATTCATACACAGAAGAGACTGCAAAAAAGGTTATAGTTACAAAACTTTTGTTATGCTACCGATCTCTTTGACATAGAAGTGATTTAAACATGAAATACGTGCCTGTGTAGAAAGTCCAGGCATGGCAAAGTCACCGCATAACCACATTTAAGTTTTCAAAATTCATTTTACATGATGAATAGATGTTCTGCTGTTCCTTTGCACTGGGGTGCATTTCGCTTTCAATTTTTCTTCATAAATGTTACTGCTCTTGCAACTAACTTCTGTGAGATAGTTGTCTCACAGAAAGTAACTAGATGCAATAATATAGGCAACTAATATTTCATAGTGTTGGTTGAATCCTTTTTTGCATCAAAAGTCCTTCTGTAACAGATTTCTGATGTTAGCCACCCTTATTTTCCTGCAATTTAGCTACACAAATCTAATTATCTCATATATAAAAATGACTATTTTTGTTTGCTTTTGCAAGTGGTAATTTTTATCACAGCAATATGGTTATAATCCACTACAAGTGTAGGGACGATTTCTCTGTTCCTTTACTCTGGGCTCACTCTTCTCCTCCCCTAAAGAAAGAGTCTTTGTTGCTTTTAGACTGGAGCTTACGATCTCAGTTTAATGCCAAATATAATTTGAACTCATTTTGGGATTGCACCTACTCATTTTTTTTGCAGCTGATTCTTTTTGTTGTTTATGTCCACTGATGTAGAAATATTTGTGTACAAAAACACGGATTCTTCTGTCCGTCCGTCAGTGCCCAAAACAAGTAATATATTCAGTTTCCATGCCGAGCTGAAGAGTGATTATTTATGTAGAGACAAGCATCATCAGTTTTTATTGTGCAACATGGTGGTAGAGCAAAGCTAGTCTGATAATATTTGGTGGTGTAGGCAGAACTGGATGAAGACAGAAATTTTAATTAAAGTATATTTATCCTTGGGATAGCAAATTAATACCTCCCACAGCAGGATAGGTCAGAGGCTCTTGTGTTTAGGAGCAGAAGATGGTACTGTTGGATGGGGCACAGGAGCAAACTCTGGGAAGGAACAGGAGCCTGGGAGGGCTCAGTTGGGTGGGCAGGAGCTAGGCAGAAAAATGGGTCCCATAGTGCCAAGCAGAAGAATAATTTCACAGGCTGTGAATGAGGTCTCCCCTGCTCTCTCCTTTGTTGTTTTCTCACCCCAGTCTGACGTGAGGTTGTTTATACTTTTTTCCCACCCTGTTTCCATTCATGAGGACTATGACCCCCATCACCACCACACTACATCCTTCTAGGATGTGGCTCCTTCCTACACAGAGACAAGAGACGTGTCTTCCTGCAGCCCCTGCCCTGCTGCTGGGTGTCACATCCCTGAGGTCCTGCTGTGCCCAGAGAGAGGGGGTGGAAGGGCAAACAGGTGGCAGAGAAAGCAAGATAGGAATGAAAAGCCAAATTGCTGCTCCTGCTGCCATGAAGGTATGGGGCAGATGAGGGTGGCAACTCCTGCTGTGGGGTGAGTTCCCCGATGCCCCAGTGGTATCATCAGTAACTCGGCTTCATTTTCTGAGAAAAGAAGCAGTTACACCAGCCTGAGCAATGTGCTACCATGGACTGCCTCTTCTCTGGCTGAACTTCCCTGGCTGAACACTATGCCGCTTTCTGCCTGCCTGCAGCAGGAACAGCTGAAGGGCTGGATATTTGCTCCCGTATGTGATATTTCTTTTCTTACTTTTATTGCATTATGACTTTTTCTACTATGACATATTTGGAAATTGCTGGTTAATTAAATCTGCATCTGTTATTAATGGATGTTCCAGTGAAGAAAGAGAAATATTAATATGGTGCGTTCTGATTTGCAGTGACGAAAAACACAATTTTTAAGCTTAATAACAAATTATTCCTAGGACAAACTGGAAATTACGCCTGTGAGTCGTGATGTTAAAATCGCATGCCCATCACCCCCCTCTGAGACTGGGGAAGAGGACTGTCCCTGACTGTGTGTCCCTTTCTGTTTCATGTACAGTGCTCTGCTAACTGCAACGGCGGTTTCAAGATCCGAGATGTTCAGTGCGTGGATGTTCGTGAGAAGCGAGTTCTCAGGCCATTTCATTGCCAATTACTTGGATATAAGCCACAACTCAGCACTAGCTGTAATATGGAGCCTTGCTTCCAGTGGCAAGTGGAGCCCTGGGATGAGGTATTGTCCTTTAAAAGAAGCTTTTGGAATGAGCAATTATCTGTCAGACAACTGTGCCGGTTATGTCTGATACTGTCCCTCAAAGGAAGGCACACGCTATTACTAATCACGGGTTTTGCAATCCCTGTGTATACTTAGAGAAAAATATACTATAGATAAAGACCCAGCAGGATTATTCCTAGCATCGCACATGATATGCAGAACTGTAAATAAGCACACCCTGAAGCAGAGGAGCAAACGTCCTTGAAGATAAAGTGGATTTGTCTTGGGTGTCCTGCTACATCAGTATATGAGATTCATTCAGAATGAATCATTTGGCTGACAATTTTTACATTGCTTTCTTGTTATGATCAATTTGGAATTTTCTTAGATGCCTGATTTTCCTTTACACTTTTGGTCTGGAATTTTATGGGGCCAGAGAATTAGGTCAGAGATAAAATTGATTTGTGGGTCACTTTATGGCATAAATCTCGACCAGTAAACTTTGTTAGGCTTGCAGGCGCATGTCTATTTCAGCTAGCACATGCGGCATGATGGTTCCCTTTTAATGTCTGCTCCCTCTAAGAAGAGCTCTAGAGAAAGTGCCACACTGCTTGTTGCTTTATGGATGTAATGCTCATTGATTTTAGCAGATGAACACATTGCTTCTTTACTGGTCACTGACAAACGGCACTTAAAATAAGAAA